CAGAAATCTTTGCTACTTAAAGTGTGATCTCCAGACCAGCAGCATCAGCAGCATCTGGGAGTTCGTTAGAAATGCAGCATCAGGCCCACCCCAGATCTGAATCAGGATCTGCATTTTAACAAGACCCCCAGGTGATTTGCATGCATATTAAACTTTGAGAAGCACTGTTTTAAACATAACCGCTTCATCCCAACTGCCACTCTGCTGGTTATAGACTGCTGCATCAACTGTCTAAGCAAGGCTATGCCACTGCAGCCTTAGTTAACCCTGCTGCTTTCGGTGTGCCCATCAGCAGCTATTTCTCCTTATACCCAGATCAATCGTTCCATCACAGATCTGACAATGTCCCTTCCCGTCTGAAGTCAGTGGCTCCCCATTACAATCAGAGTGAGGTCTTCGCTAACCACCTCTCCACCCTCATCTCTTGCTCTCCCCTCCTTGCCTTCCGTGCACCAGCCAGGTTAGATTACTCTCGGTTCTCTCTTGTCTTTTGGTCTGTGTGTCTATCAGCCTATCTCTCTATAGCATATTCTCTCTCCACTATTCCAGCATTTGTGGACATTTTTAAACTACCATACTCTCATGGCATAATGCATCTGACCACTGATTTTCTCCAGAGAACTCCTCTTGTCTGGTTCCATGGGCACTAAGCAACTTTATGATTAGAGTTTGTGGCTTCACTTGTGGTTTTCTTTTTTTTTTTTTTTTTCACTTGTGGTTTTCTGACAGGGAAAGTGCCCTGGCCAGAGGACAGCCTATTTGGGTCCTGTGGCAGTTAGTGTTCATTCTAACATGGGGTTTAGTCTCATCAGTCTCTGCTGAGTCAGATTAGCATGAGCCAGGCCCAGAGGGAACAATGATCAGCTATGCCGACAACAGCAAGTTTCTGGAAGCACAGAGGGAAGAGGCAGGCTCGGGAACACTGTAAGACCATACCAAGCTACCATCTAAGCATAAGGCTGGCTACCTGGATGTCTTCCTCATTGTCTCTCTACAGTGGTGACAATTCACAGATCTGCAGAATCTTAGAAAACAACGGACATCTGTCATTTTTCCTGCACTGCATCATCTCCTCCTCCTTCTGGTAGCAGCGACCCAATTTTTCTTTCGTGAACTGTCCCTTCAGCATTCTCATGTGGTTCAGAGAGTGGGCCCCACCCCCAAGTTCCAAGAGTAAGCATGTGACCCAGGGATCCCTAATCAGAATTACAGAGGTTGGCTCAAAGGGTGGGCATGTGACAGGCCAATGACACTCGGCTCAGACTGTTGCAGAAGCTATGTGAAAGGGGTGTTTCCTTTTTGCTTGCTTGCTAGGGCAGCAAATATGAGTCGGGGGCCAAACATGCAGGATGTGAGAAACGCCCTCTCTGAGTGGAGGTGGGACAGGGAAAGCCGCGATGGAGACAGTTTCCTGATGCCGTAGTTTGAAGCTGTATTCAGCTGAGCCTGGACTTTAGGTTTCAGCCACTTGAAACCATAAGAGTTCTGACTAATGCACTACCCAATTAACTCCCTTTTTTGCAAAAATTGCTCAGAATTGTACAATAAATCTCTGAGACATGAATCAGAAACTCATGAATGATGAAACGAAAGAAAAGAACTGGCAATGAGCCTTGAAACTAGCTAAAGATAGAGAGATAACTGAATAAAAACACCACTCAGTAGAGACTGTTTGATACCGATAAGTTGAAATAATTGTTGCTATGGTAACAAAC